GGGGGGGGGTGGAACTCCGGGAGCCACTTAGGCTCAGCTCCAGGGAGTATAGGAAGAGTTAGGAACTAGAAGGAGGCTCATTTTGTACAGGTTGATGGCAAGGATGTGCTGTCAAGGCATTTAGAACAGACAACTTTCTACAGGTCATGGCTTGCCATTAGGCTAAACTGAGGGAAATCACAGGCCCAGAGTCCAGGGAAGGGCATTGGTGACTAGTGAAAACTGGGACTTCAGTGGAACCCACTCAGGAAATCCAGTATTGCCAGTCATTCAGAAGTGGCAGTAGAGGACAAAACAATAGTGGAAGCTAGACCTGTAATGGTTCAAAAGTTAAAGACCCAGCGGAAGCAGGCTGAGGTTTGAATCAGATCTGCTCCTTGCTCCACAGAGAGATTTACATTCCCCCATGAGACCATATACTCCTGCAGAGCTGGTAGAACTGGGGTCCAAGTTCAGGCAAAAAAATGAAAGGAAGTGTACCTGCATGGCTGCTCCACCTGTGGGACACTGGAGCAGATGGCATAATGTTGAATGGTACAGAATTGTCTAAGATGGCTTCAGTAACTGCTCACTCTGCTTTATGTCAGTGGCACATCAGGGACGCTGATTGAAGAGTAGGGGTCATTACTAGCTTGGCTTCTTCTTGCCACAATATGTGGCCAAATTCAGGAGCTATTTCTATGCTTTATGGGCCTCAATGGAAGAATCACAGAGCTATTTGTGAGAACTGGGAATGAAATATGCTATCTATGTGCAGCCTTTCCCAGGACCAGACAGTGTGGCTTTTACTGCCAGAGTGAAGGATACAGTGTCACATGCAGCCCTGCCATCCAGTTATGGTGCCCTCATGTCAATATTATCTATCCCTGTTAGTAGGGCAGCCCTCCAGCAAGTAGCATGTGATAAAGCAGATCTAGGAAAGACAGAAAGATTGTGACAGAAAGTAGGAGTCCATAAAACCCAGCCCAAATTGGCACCTCACAGAGTCTCCAATAAACAGATATGAGTAGAATTAGTATCAGCAGGAGTAGATGAAAGGAAAATAGATAACCTAATCCCACCTTGGTACAGTTGTGAAAACAATTGCCAAAGGATAAGTTTCCAGCCATTACCTCTCAATAAGGAGACAAAAGGGGAGGCAATCAGAAAGGTAGAATGGATTCCTACTGTAAAAAAGAGACAGAAACAAGCTTCTCCTATTAGGAGATCTAATGAAAGCAGAGCCCATGACTACTCCTGAGAAGTCTTTGAGTCCTTGGGTATGAATGACTATGGACCCAAGCCATGTCTTTGGACTAGAGGCTATATATAAAATTGGCAATACTTTGGTCTTCCAAAAATTTAGAGAGCGGGGCTGGAGTTGTGGCTCAAGCGGTAGTGTGCTCGCCTGGCATGCGTGTGGCCCAGGTTCGATCCTCAGC